CTGGATAGCTGGCCAATCAGAGCACACCTCGCTTTTCAGACCGATGAGCTTTGTAAAAATCAACGCGTTTCAGAAAGGTGGGGCATAGAGGAGAAACAATAATGTACAGTATGTGGAAAATAATGTTTTTTGAACCTTTAACCGCATAAACACATTTCATTACACTAAATACACAAAATACTGTTCTTTTTAGCAACGTCATATGACCCCTTTAATTTCTAGGGCCAGACTAGTTTTATAATAAATTAAAATAAAATAAACCCAATAGTTTTGGAAGACCCTACAAACTCACTTTCTGTGTCTCACACAAACATGCATACACTTGTTGATTAATTTATCAGCACAACATCCATGTATGCAATGTTTTTACATTATTCATTTATGACTTGCTTTTAAGACCTCCGACTCCATCATGAATCGCCTGAGGCTGATTTAACAGCGACAACATGATGAAGTTACTTCCAGCACATGGGCTTCTCACTGCCATCAGATATGGCAAAACCGGCCACACAGTTTACATACACAAACATTATGTATATAGTATACAGTATGGTTCAAACGCTGGGAATCACTTCAACATTATGGGGTTTTTTTTGGGGGGGGGGGGGCATGATTCCTTTCCTCAGTGAAGCTTACAATTGATTAAAAATACATTTAAAACAGTTATATTGCATATATATTACTATTGTAAATAACTGTTTAGTTTATGTTTTAACTATCTTATAAGATGAAAGCAAACTGGATCTAATTGGGACAGAAAGAGTGGATGGCCCAGATACACAATAAGAAGAGGACAAGTAGGCCTGTAGAAACAGACCCAAGAAAGCACGGGATGAAGCTTCATCTTCTTAATTGCAAGAATATATACAGTATAAGTCTGTGCATTGCTGTCTTATACAATAAAACACCGTATTCAGAAGTTCACTGTAGAATGAATGTAGGTTGGGTCATTTTATTTCTATACCACAACAAATTACTGCTGAAAATATATAAATAAGCCGCATTGTGAGATTCTATAAATAACTGGCCAAAGGGCATATAGGCACATGCAAATAGAAGAAATATAGAATAGCTTAAGATTGATTTTAGCTCCGTTTATTCGTTGATTTTGTTTTGTAAACAGAGAATCCAGAATAATCTGTTTATATAAAGACACCCCTGCTGAAAAAAATAAAAAAAACAATAGACACCATCACAAAATCTGTAAGTTTTCACTGGTTATAATATTGGTTTTACTGGAAACTGTAATGGTCCCTGTGGGTCTGTATTTGGTCACCTTGTTAAAACCAATAAATCCTAATGGAATTTGTCCCGAAACACACTACAGAAACAATGTTTAATGGTTTTAATGGTAAAAAGTTGATGGTTTGTAATGTTTGATGGTATTTCTGTGATGGTTCTATTGTTTTTTCAGCAGGGACAGCTAATCATTGGGATTCTACAGCTCAGAAACTTCACAGTACGTAATAGCCGTGTAACTTTAAAGGCATTGTAAAAGTGTATTGTCAATTCAAAGTGAAATGCTGCGGTGTTAAAGAAAGTCAACATGAGTCACTTGAGTTGCGCCATCCATTCAAACAGGTCGGGTTTCACTGAAGGGTGGAGCTCTGGGAAAGTTTCAGATAAAGACTGGCCTGAAAACATTCGGAGAGCTTCTTCACACTCGCGCAGGAGACACAACACAGCGTTATCGCACACAATGTTTCGTTGTGGAATCTCGTATCCGAGGTGCAGGTGGATCCTGCCTCTGCTGCTGCTGTTTGCCATTATTTTCGACATTATCGCCATCGCAGCGCAGTCTGGATGGGTGGAGGACGAGGACGCCAAGACGCACTACGCCAGCATGTGGAAGCAGTGCCGAGGCCGCAGCGAGCAGTGGGACTGTAGATCCCTCATGGAGTTTCGTGAGTGTTGGCTTAAAGTCCTGAGAACGGTTGTGATGCAGTGTTTAAGGCATTCAAATACAGCAGAAATGAAGCGTTCCCCGAAAACCAAATGAAACGGGAGGAAAACTGTGTTCCTTTGTTTACGTAACCTTTTCTGTATTCATTTTGAATTTGTAAAATTCTTCATAAATTTAAATTTAAATAAAAATTTAAATACATAAT